GGGAGAGAGAGAGAGAGATAGAAAGAGAGGGAAGAGACAGAGAAGGAGAGGAAGACGAGAGAGAAGGAGGGAAAGAGAGAGAAAGGAGAGAGAGAGAGCGAGAGGGAGAGAAAGAGAGGGACGGGAGAGAAAGAGAGCGACGAGAGAGAAAAGAAAGGGCAAGAGAAAGAAAGAGAGAGAAAAGAGAGGAAGATGATAGAAAAAGGGTGAGTGGTTACCTATTGTGGTCCTTGAACTAGACCGGGAGCTATGTTGGGAGTGGAGAGTTCCAAGTGGGAAGTGAGGGGTTCTCAGTAGGAAATGGAAAGTTCCAAGGATAGTCTCTTATGGGGAATGTTTTCTCTCTCCTCTCTTTGGGGGAAAGGGGGTAGAGACAAAAAAATATCACAAACAAAGAAAGCTCAAGCTATTTCATTAAAAATTTGAACTCCTCAAGCTCATGGTTTTTCATTTGCTCCTTTACAAATGATCATGAGATGCTTATATAACATCCCCTTGAAACAACGGTGGATGCTCAAAACTAACCCTAATTGCTAAAAATTACATTTTTCATGATTTAAAATTAAATCCCGTTTTGCCCCTACCCATAATCTTGGAAATGGGGAGATGGTCCCCAAAAAGGTACCATGGGCTATGCTGATCATTCGGGGGTCATTTCGAGTCCTTTCGACAAACCCCCGACGGAAATAATGTCACAAAAATGATGGTCTCGACGAGGCAATCGTTTTGGCATATTACTTGATCCTTGAATCAAAGCTTTGGGCTCTTGGCAAAATCCAGTAAAAGATGGAAAATTTGCAATCTTAGATCTTAGATCTTGCCCATTTCTTGACGTTTTGGCTCAATCTTTTTATCATAGAATGACAAGGAAGCCACCATGGTCATTTTGCGAAAAAAATGACTCGATTGGATTGCCGGATCTCACTTTCTTAATTGGGAAAGTCGCCAGAATATGGATTCCGGTCACCGAAAAATATCCCCTTTTTGCAACATCAAAATACAGCCTTTTCAGTCTTTTATCACATGTGATGTTTACTTTGAATCAAACCCCTCAACGTCACGGTCACAACGGACGTGTTTTCAAGTCGATCCAAGGTCAGGGCTTCGTCATATGATGGTTTGATTGAGCGAAACCCCTTCTTGCAAAAATCTGCAACACATGAGTTCTTGAGCGACTTCTCTCTAGGATTTCTTCCGTCTCAAACCGTGTCACAGGACGTGCCATATATTAAAACGTGTGTGCCAACGAGACAAAGAACCTCCTGAAATTTGGGCTTGATTGGGCTTGAAATGGAAAAGTTATGCCCTTTTGAACATGATCCCGAAATCATAAGACCCAGTTTCCATGGTTCACCTAGGATACACCAGAATAGTGTATAACCTACCCTTTTTGGGTAAGTTAGCCTCAGAACGATCCAGAAGTGTCTGAATGTGCTGAAATTTGATATTTGGGGGTTTTCGAACCTTTTAAATCCAACGAAAGCGGTCTAGTACTCATCTAAAACCCCGATGATAGGGATGTAGTTATGAGGTGCTTTTTCAGCATGCCAGGGGTCGAATTTGAAAAATGGTTTTCCATCTGATCCACCTTAGCTTCATTGAATCTTGACGAGACTTGGCAGGTATTCTTAGGGAGTCAAAGACTACCCCCACATGCTTTTTGGAACCAATCCATCACCTTTCAAAATTCGCTCTAGATCAAGGTTTATTTCAGTAGTGCTTTCATAATCTGCAGGCATTTTGGTTCCCACAAGCCTAAGTCGCAATTAGCTTCTTCCTTATTCGCACAGGGGATATAAGTGTCGAAAAATACCCTATAACACATAGATTTGGTAAAAATTGTGGCTATGATGGTCCATAAGTTGATCTACAAGTTTGCTACCAAACGCCAATGGGATTTGTCCTCGCTATGAATCAGTCTCCCCTTCCATGTGAGTCGTTCTTTCGTGGATTACTAAAACTTGAGAAGCCATAAGTTCCATTGTAAACCTCCCACTATCAATTCATAGATTCCTTGGTGAACCCTTACATTGTGCACCTGCTTCAACTCCAAAGAGATGTGTCCTCACTAAAAATCCCTTCCATGTGAATAGTTTTTTAGGGACGAGTAAAACTTGAGAAACCAGATATTCCAAGGTAAACCTCCCACTCTCATCCACAGATTCCATGTGGACCCCAAAATTGCGCATCTTCTCCAATCTTCAAATCATGCTCCTGCTCCACACTCAATGGGAATATTTTATTTTCTAATAAAACATTTGGACACTAATCCATTTGATGCAGCTTGAATCTTCCAATTCAGGACAAATTTATAAGCAACAATATTTTGGAGACAATCATTATTTCAAACTAAAAACTAGTTGTCAGCATTTACATCAGGCAGAATGACAGTAATTACTAAACAATCACAATACAACTACCAATCTTGGAAAATGGATAACTTTAAACTACCTTCATATGTGCATGTGGCTATGAGCACTGATATTCATGAAAAGGTTTTACAACAATGAAATTCATTGAATGATAAAACTATCCAACACGAATGGACGTCAATCAAAAAAATATCTAGCAAACCTGACAGTGATCATCAGTCAAACATTGATTAGAGCGTATTATCTGATGGAGATCTGTGTCCATTAGCTCATATACAATATATACATCATTGAAGTTTTCCCTTTGGGGTGGCCGTATGATGTCCTTGATCTGAATTATCTGCAGGAAAAATAAAACAATCCTTTAGTGCTCAATCAAAAGAAGAACAACACATAACCTTAATCAGTAATCATAGTATATCAGTTATAGTAGAAGTGACCTTAAAGAGCTATATTAATGGGCAAGAGTGCCATTTATTTTGAAATGTTTCACTTCCATAGGTAACTGTAGAAGTCATCTTTAAAACCTTCTATAGTTGAATTTCTCAAAACTTGTGGCAGTTTTGTCACAAAAATTGAAACCAGTGACATAACAACAGCAAATAAATGTAATAGATAACAGAACGACGGAAAAATAAATAACAGAAAGACAGCAAATAAATGTAATAACTATAAGAACAGAAAAGAATGAAACATGACATCTATTGCCTAGGCATAGTCCAAAAATATAATAGAAAGTACATTGTCATGGTCCAGATGGCGAAGGAGCTTAATCTCCCGAAGGGTCCGCTTTGCATCAATTCTGTTGTCAAAGGCATTCCCAATTTTTTTGATAGCCACTTCTTCATTGGTTTCTGAATTCCGAGCGCAGCTATAGAAAGGTAAATTGCAATACTAGTTTATTAAAAAATGTTAATGAAAAATAATCATAGGGATTAAAGGACAGTGCATAGTGAAAAACTAAATGAATTTCATTAGTGTGAAGAAAATGTCAAGAATGATGGCATCTAAGCATAAGACAAGTTATGTGAGAATTATGAGATGACATGGATACATAGTTAACTATAACTTATCAACATTGCAAAGTAATATCTACTCCTTTTATGTATTCTTATCCCCAACATACTGCATCTGCAACGCTATAAGGCTACAACAGGGCTACTGAATATTTACCAAGATCAAAATATATTTAAAAATACAATTGACATAAATCCACAAAAAAATTATGATACATCAATACATACAATTACGATCACATTATCAATAATAAAGAATTGCAAGTAATCGCACCCCTTGAAGAAACCCCAAATGCAGCACTTCAAACAATGTTTCTCTTATAGTGACACTCACTCTCTTGTAATGAGCCTTTTGGCCTTGGATGGCCCATTTTGTATGTAGCAACAGATTGCATAAACATGTCAGTATTATTTCAAAAGGATTGCTATTTGCACACATGTTTTCGCTTTCTCACCCAACACATGGGTGGGAATATAGAAAACACGTCTAACGAAAACTTCCACCCATGTTTATGGGTGAAGCAATCCCAGTTTGCATAACAAAATATGCTCAAGAGGCATGGAACGTGTGTCAATGGCATGTCTGGGCAGTGAATAAAAAATAATTTTCAACTAAAGAAAACTCAAAGAGTCAATCCAACCCAGCAAGTTGCTACATCATACACGTGAAAAACTCCGTTATGCCTGAGTTTAAGGATATATAATTGTTTTTGGGTTATATAATCAAGTCAATGGCAACTCCAAAGAAGTAGCAATGTGGTTCTGACTTGGTGAAAGGCTGGGTTTGGAACCCATCATTGGTGACATTGCTTTTTTTTGACTCGTCATACAATAAAAAAAAAAAGAAAAAGGGCGAAAGTAACCCAAGTTTTTGAGAGTCACTGTTCAATTTGGTGAGTCAATATGGTTAAGTTGTGCACCGAGTTCAAATTTTTCAACACAGTGTCTGGGTTTGTCAACATGTGATACGTCTTCCATTTGGGAGTGTCAAGGTAACATAGAGGAAATGCCTTGGACGATTACACCCTTTTCGCCCTCCTTCATGAATAGTAGACACCTTAGTGGTGCACCACGACATCCTTCAACACTGGATTATCCTTAATGGAGCTCCAAAAATACACCTTCAAAGATGAGTTACATGACCAGACATTCCTTTAAATTTGTACTCCCCCCTTGGGAATGGATAAGATTAACAATATCTGGTGAGAATACAGATTGGTTCTTAAAAATCCTTCGGATGAAGCCTCAAATTCAAGAAAGGTCATTCATAAGAACCACCTAGTGTAGGATGAAGCCCAACAACAAGTCATCACCTACATAGAGCTCTGGAGCTCTGATGAAACTTTAAGGGATAGCCACTTGGTCTAGGACTAAAATAACTCTATTTTGCTTCTCTACCTTGATCTTATACATAGTTGTTTACTTAGGTCACCAATTATTCAGTATGCAATGCTATAAATATACCAAGATTCCATTTCATTTATCAATTCACTTTCTTTTTGTTGCACAAGATAGCAATAGGACTGTTTGTTTGATTCTTTGTGTGCTTACATCAACTTTTAGGGGTCGTTTGAATACCTGAAAATCCATTACAAGGAAACATATTAGAAGGAAATCTAGCATTTTCAGTGTTTGGGTACACCTAAAGAGTAAGGAATTGAAAATAGATTACGTGTCATTTCCCCATATGTCGTGAAAACCATTACGCATGGGAAAGCTAAGAAATCAATTACGGGGCGCGACGGGTAATTGTTTATGCGCCATTTCCCCAAATCCCTTCGCTGCTAACTCAACCTCTCTTCTCTGTCCCTCTTCGAGCCTCCCTTCTCTGTGCTCATTCTCTCTACAAGCAAGCCATGCAGGTAACCTCTACGAGCAAATTTGCTACCTCTCTCTCTCGAAACAACAAACTTGGAGCAACCTCGAGCAAAACTGTTGCCTTTTTCTCTCTCTTGGAGCAACCTCTCTCACCCTATTCGAAGTAAGCATTTGTCTCTCTTACCGTGTCCAAGTAAGAGCAATCTCTCTCTCTCTCTCTCTCTCTCTCTCTGTATCTGTGTGTGCGTTAAAAAATTAGGGTTTTACCTATTTTTCTATGGCATAAATCTGCTCTAAAAAATTTAGGGCTTTCATTTCTTCTAATGCCCTATAAAAGTAGGATTTGGTGGGTAAAAGATTCTTGCAACAGTAAATATTTTATAGGCCAAAGGGGTTGATTTGAGCAGATAAGATTAAGTTGATTTGGTTCGTTCTTTGTTACTCTTGTTTCCATAAAATCAGTACAGTTATAGGTTGATTTGGCTCGTTCTTGTTATTTTAGTTTACATAAAATCAGTAATTATGAAAGGTTTCAGAAGTCTTGATCATGAGGTTATCACACAGTAGTTACCAATATTTATTTCATAAGGTCAATCGTTTTTCTTTTTGGGTTTTCGTTATGACAATTGGTTTTTGTGTGTGGGTATCTCTCTATGGAATTTCTTTTGAGATTCTTGTATGATTCATCATTTGGGAATCTCTCTCTTGAGTTTTTCGAGCTCTTTTTCTAAATCCTGATATGGGCTCTCTCTCTACAATTTAGGAAATTTCTTTGGAGTTTAGGTTATATCTGATATGAACAACAGTGAATTATTTTGATAATCTTTGATATGAATTTCGGTGCGTTCTTTTTATAGTCAAGGTGAGCTACATGCTGCTAAAATTATCAAAGTATGATACATAATGCTGCTGAAATTAAACAGAGTATGATACCATTAGTAAATCTTGTTGGAACAATGACAATTTTATTTCACGTTCTCATTCTCCCTTTAAAATGATGGTGATTAAGATCAATACTTTGCACTCTCTCTATCTTTGGAATAGTTATTATTAATACCTTTATTTCTCTCTCTCTCTCTCTCTAGAATGGTGATGATGTTATTATTAGAAAATCTATTTGGAATGGTGTGATGATGACTTTAATTCCGCATTTCAGTAGAATTTTGTGACAAAAAAGAAAGAAATGATAATTTATAGGCAAGTGCTTGTACAATGTTGGTAATGCATTTCTCATATTTCTTCCAGACATAACCAAACAGTAGCAATGTATTTCCCAGGTTGCATCTAAATGCTACCCAAACAATAACAATCCATTTGCAGGTAATGTATTACGCAGTAATGTATTACGCCAGTAATATATTTCACAGATAATATATTTCTAGGTATCCAAACGGATTTTTGAAGTCATGAATCCCTCTTAAATCTATAAGTCGGTTTTTGAGAGGGTGATCTACTCTCAGGGAATAATGTGGCTTACCAATTGCTTTAGAGGTCAGATATTAGGTGATCTCCAGTTTGTCTTATTTAGTATCTCCCTCTGCTCCTAAGAACTGAAAAAGCTCTAAAGGTGGGATTTCATATAGTTCTTAGCAAAGACCAAATCTCTTAGACGCGACCTTGTCAAGTGCCTCTAGCTGGCATCCTAAAGCTCGATAATAATGTAGTAATGTAGGAAATCCCACCCCAAAAGGTTTACTAGCATCATCGGAGATAGCTTTGGGAAGAAAGGAAGACCTTCTTACGTGCTACTTGCATTTCTCACTCCTAAAAAGTATACAAGCAGTTCCTTGATGGTCTAGCTTGAGAGTTTTGCCAATCCCAAAGATATTCTTGCTGGGCCCACATGATGGCATTGAACAAGTCGCCATTCACTATCAATGATCATGAAGCTGGAGTTGTTAACCAGGAAACTTTTGCTGGAATACTCCACGACTAAATGCAATAATCATTTCCTAAGGCAAGGAGAGAGTTTAGAAGCCCTCTCTCTATGGGATTTGGATCTAGACAGTGCTATACCATTCTGGTTCTATATGTTTTTTTGGCTGGGCTAAAAGTTCGGCAGCACTAAAGAAAGGGCTTGAACCTTGGTTCCATATATGCGAATATATATGTCCCCATTTGTTTGGATAATTCTACGTAGAATATTTTCTATTTGCTTAATTTAGGTAGAGCCAGATATAATATTCATGCTAATGAATAAAAGGTTGGTAATAGAGAAAGGATATAACTAAAGAAAATAAAAAAGGTATAAGTCTAAGAGAAAGATGTTAATCATTTAGACATCCATCAAATAGCAGAAAGCATTCAATTATTTGCATTAACAGTTATAAAACTATGAAAAAAAAAATCATTATTATGCACAAATAAGATTCACTTATCAAATATACTTAATTTCAGTGTTAGCCTCAAAATTAAAAAGTTCTAGTGCTAAGACAAATTATGGTCAAGAAAGAGAAGTATCAGAACAACTCATGATGATAGGCAATGATACGATGATCACAAATATTGCAACAAAAATAGGCTCCACCCTCAAATCTTAGTTAGAGGAAAGTTTCTAGAGACCGCTTTCCATGTTAAACCAATGAATTTGTTTGGTTAAGCCTAAGCTAACCTAGTTTAAGAAAAAAGGGGGGAAAAAAGAGTAGATTTCCCGACCCAACACTAAAGAACAGAGAAAATTTTGCTTACAGCCAATTTCTTGCCGTAGATGACCAATTGATTACCAATATGGAAAAGGTAAAAAAACCAATTGTGGATTCGAACCACAAAGGTCTATTTGGGCTCTCACACAAAAGATGTCTAGACAAGGGCCCAAGAATTTCAGGGGACTTTACTTTCTGGCCTATCAGCCAAGAAGAAGGGTTGCCTTTTTGGGCTAAAACAAAGTGAAACTGATAGCTATGGCCAAAATCAGTGAACAGCAGATCTTAAGATTTGAACAAGTTAGATCAAGTTTTCCACAAGTTGTGCAGGAATCTTTATTGATAATAAAATGAATTAAAAAAAAAAAGTTCCAAATATAGTTATCGCATTGGAACAGTGTTCAGTAAGAATGGTATGCAGGGCAGTTTTATTGAGTTCTGACAATTCACTTAAATGCAGGGCATTTCAAAAGGTTCCTTGAACAAAATCGAGCAACCCAATCCGTCTGAGAAAGACAGAGAGATCTTGAGGAGGCATACTGACTATATGGTTAATTTAAATATTTTCCAAACTTTTAATAAAAATCACATCTATTTTTGTTAACAAACTTACACTGTTTTGTGACTTTGGCTGATTGTCAATATTTCCCATCCAAACTTAGGCAACTCAGAACTTAAAGACTGATGATCCAATATCAATTGGAAGACATGGGTATTACGCATATTATATAATTTCTTGTGCTAAAGAGAATACAGTTCATTTGGTGGAATTTTAGTGAATAACTCAGATCTAAGGGGTTGGTTGAAAGTTTAGATTCCCAGTTTGAGCAGCCAAAAACAATGATTATTGTTAAACAAACAATTCATCTTAATATTTACCATACCCAAAAGAAATTTGATCAAGAATAAAACTCACCCTAATCAGTTCATGCCATTGATATTCAAGCCATCAAAAGGAACCACCAAGTCATTAAAATCAAAGCCGAACAAAGTTGTATGCACTAGAACAGCAACGCAAAATCCAAATGCGAAATTTTGTTCTACCAAATATACATCACACTTAAACTTAAAGAAAACAAACTCTATTAAAAAACAAAAAAAAAAAACGACTATCAAGACATACATGAGATCAACATAGGAATTAATGGCTTATACAATTAATTGACAACTTCGCCAAATAGTTGGGATAAGGCTCAGATGATGACAATCAATTGACAACTAAAATATTAATCAACCAAACCAGAAGCCACAAAAGATTTCAAATAGTATTAATAAAAAAAGAATTGTCCATCAATCACTCCACCCAAAAACTCAAGCAGAAGCATAATAGACAAGGACAATCGCCTCACAAAATAACTTAAAGACAAGAAAAATGCAGATACTAACCAGACAATACCATATGCACCCCTACCAATGGGTTGTATAGGGGGAACATACTTTGAAGAAACCTCGAAAAGGTTCCCAAGAACATTGTACTGTACATAACTCCCTCCATGAGTGGCAACCCCTTGCATACTCCCTTCCCCACTTGAAGAATTGGCGTTCATTATCCTCTGCAACGTCAGAAAACCCTAAAGCCCAAAAACCTAAAACCTTAAAGCCATCTTGTACGAAGGGACTTGGAAGAAAAAACTGAGCTTTTTATCAAGAAAAGGCATGGTGGGTATAGAACGGAATTGTGGAGAAAATTGGGAGATCAGTCGGCTCAGTTGCAGAGAAAGTTTCAAAATGAAATGTGATAAAAAAAAGAGATTTAAAAAAGTTTCGAGAGAGAGAGAGAGAGAGAAAGCGCTTAGCTTTTGAATGGAAATGGGGGGATAAAAGAAATGGGCCATTGCGGTCCCCACTGACAAGAGGAAGGTTGGTCAAAGAAAACGAATATCAATTAATTTTTTTTTTTTTTTTTTTGTCCTAAAAGAAGAAAGAAGGAAAGTAAGATGAAGACTTCCATAGTCCACGGTCCATAGAAGAGAACACGGGTTAGAGAGAGACACACTGACTTTTAGCTTGTAGAGAGAGAGACTGACTTTTGGTTTGGCAGGCATTGTCAAATGTGGCCGCCGATTGCTTCGAGAGCCGGAGAGAGTAAGAGAGACTTTCAATATATGCTAACCCCAATACTTCTGACATTAAGCTACCCACGCCAATAATATTTATTTTGGTATCTCTCTTAAAAGTAAGAAAGTAAAAATATTCATCGTATATTTATTTGAGTACAGTTTGTGTAGAGTTGTGCTTCTAAACAATCAAATTAGAGCCCACCTTCAAATAGTATCGAGAAATATAGTTTCAATACTAAAAAGTTTTGTGATAGCCTTAAATTATATTTTCATCTCTAATTATAAAACTTAAAGTTTTGAAAATAGTATAGATCGAGTAGATCTATGAAAACTTGAAAATCTTAAAAATTGACAGTCCAAAAAAGTGTTACAAGATCCACTATTTCTAAAACTTTAAATCCATTTTTTTCTCATGTTCATACATCTTGATGTCGAGATGATCAATTTGATGATATTTGGGTATCAAAACAACCTCTTATAGTGAAAATTTTGAAGTAGGCTCTAATTTGATTATTTAGAACCTAAGCTCAATATAAACTTTTCCCTCTTTAAAATAGTTACTGTGCTTGAAATTTAAAAATATAGAGAGAAAAAATATATCAAATTTCAAATGAGTGCATATATTATGTTCTCAAGAGAGAAAACTGCATATTTCCTCCCTCACTCAAAACACCTACTTATGAGAATTCACTTAGTCTAAAATTTTGGAAAACACATAATAATACTTGATGGTTATTTTTAAAAGAAAATTTTGAATTTTAAGTTTTGTAACACTTGGATCTAGCCCTAAATAAATTGGACAGCTATTTAGTCTTAGAGCATAATTTTTTTATAATACATAGAGAGCTTATTTAAGATTTTTTTTGGGCCGACATTATTCCATGGGTTGGTAAAGATTACATCCCCAAATTTTAAGATCCAAAAGGTATCCATAGCATGTGTTTTGCCTGAGGAAGGTATTGGATAGTATCCTCTCTAGGAAGGGCATAATCTTTTAGCATTTCAAATTTTCAGAGGGAGAAACTATCTCGAAATTTTATAAGAAATATGTTATCTCAAATTTTAATTTTTAAAGAGAAACTATCTCAATTTTTTTAGAAACAAAAACTATCTCAAATTTCAAGTTATCTCAAATTTCTTTTTTTTAAAGAGAGAAAATCTCTGAAAATTTGAAAGCCTTGAGAGAAAGTGAAGGGATGGGAATGAGCTATTCATTGTGGATCATTTCGTTCCAAAAAAACTACTTTATTATTGGGCCTTAGATGCAAAAATAAATAATATTTAAGTTAGTGGTGTGGTAAAAAAAAATACAGGTTGACGTGCCTATCCATGGTATCTATAATTTTCCCAAAAAAACCCTTAAGGAAGAGAGATGTGAAATAGAGAAACCTTTTAGCTTTAGCTGTAATTTTATTGAGGAATTGAAAGGATACAAGGTTGTGAAAACAGGAAAAAGGGTTTTTCATTGAGAAAAGGACAGGGTTTTTATTAGTCCTCGGACTTGTATGTAGAAATGCACCACTTCTTAATAATTTATTTTTGAAATAGATTTTGGCCCTAATTTTTAAGAAATATATAGTATCTAATATAGAGATAATATAGAGATCATTAATCTGTAAAAATAAATAAATTTTTTAACGATATGGGGCGCGTATGTCATGTATAAAGGAGACATTAATGATACTCCTGATCTTCAACATGTTCAACAAAATACACGCTTCATATTTCTTTAATCTTATTTTGAAAGAGAAGAGAATTGGTATTTTGATAGCTGCTATAACTACCACCATTAACTTGTAAATTCCAATTGAATGATGAGCATAAACCCCACATACACAAACAAAAAAGGAGAAGTGAATAAGTTGTTTTGCCAGTCGTTCATAAGTTGATCATTCCATATGAATATATGTCTAGTAAAAACAATTTCTTGAAAAAATGACATTTTAACATGATAAACAAATTACATAGTTTAGATCTTTTTTTCTAAGGGAAAGGTTTCTATACTTCCCCTATAGCATATAAGATCTATGCTTCTTTTACCATTCAACCGTCCAATTTTGATCAAGGGAGGCTCTCACCATTTGATCTTAGATTTGACATCTCAAAGTATTTTATTTTTAGTTTTTTTATACATATTGTATAAAGATGAAATTTTGTACGTGTCTTCTTCTCATTGTGCCGCACCTATAAAAAATATTAAAAATAATTTTTTTATAAAATATAATGACCAAAATACCCCTTAAAATTTTTAGGGGCATTTTGGTCATTTTATTTTATTAAAAATATTTTTTTATATATTTTTTGCTAGTGCGAGTTTAATAGAGGATTGGACATCCAAAATTTGGTATCAAAATAGTTTAAGAAAAAAAATTAAAAATAAAATAGTGTAGAGACATGACATTGTGATTGGGGCAATCTTAGCCTTCCATTCAGAATGGATGGTTGGATAAGGGGAAGTATAGAAGTTTTATGCTGTACGGGGAGTATAGAAAGCTTGCCATCTTTTTAAGGTCCATTTTTTATACTCTCTCCCCTTCAGTTATTTATATATGGGCAATGATCCAATGCAACAGTTGTATCAAAGTATAATGCAACGACACTTCTAGAAATCCACGTTTGTGGTATTTGAATGACCCCAAATTTTTCACACACACTCTCTTCATCTCAATAATCAATCTCCAAACAAATTAAACCCTAGATATGGTCAAAACGCGTCATCTCCAAAAATGAATCTAGACCATTCATTTTGTAAATTTCAGGATCTTAGCCTTTATAAACTCAAAATCATTTTTTTCTTTTTTAACATTGTTCATCTAATAATAATAAATCCATCCAAAAAAATTGGAAATGAAAAAAATCCTACTAAGATCTAGATCTAAGTATCTCACCAAAATGAACGGCCTATATTAATTGGGCTAAAAAATACTTTTTAGGTTGTGTTTTCAACTTTTTATTTTTTTGTGATTGATCCTTAGAATGAAAAGAGTGTATATTTCAAATTTTGGATCAAACAAATGGCTATAAGATGGTTTTTTAATATTGTTGCATCATATTACTATACAACGGTTGCATGATATCATTGCTCTCTCTCTCTCTCTCTCTCTCTCTCTCT